AACACACCTGTTGCTACCGAGATGTTGCACTTGAATCTCTAGAATACTAGAATACAGACGGGAGCGCAACCAAACGCAAGACGCGGAGGCGTCAGCCTCTGGCGGTGTATTTATGGGAGGCACCACGGGGCAAGAAGCGAAGGTAGGTGACCCCCGGAGTCGACAAGTGGAAGGGCACCAGCAGTCAAAAAGGAGCGACGGGTAAGTCGGCAAGTCATGAATGCGTGGTAGCGAAGGGGCGTAGCGGTGCGTAGGGGTGTCTCCGACAGTGGGGAAACAAGGCGGGGCGGTGAACCTGCGGGGGGGTCGCCACCTGGGGCTGTTTTGCAGCCCATGTCTACACGTGTGGTGCGTTGTGGGGCAGCACATGCATGGGAAGACGGGGGACTGTCAATACGCAGCAAACGTCAGCAACAGCAGGGGCAGGCCGGGAGAAAACCCCTGCGCTGACCAGCCAATGGAATGTGCGTGCGACGCCGGGGCGTACTCCGCCAACTGTAAGTCGCGCTCGCACTCCCCGACGGCCCGCTCCTCGCCAACCAATCCGCAGGCGCGCCGCGCTCGTGATCCGGCATCCACCACCACAACCACCACAACCTTCCCTTTGCATTCTCTGACACTCGTCCGCTCCGCATTTACCCCTTCCTGCCCTTACACCGCCTCTCCTACCCATTCCCCACTTAAGCCTTGAACGCAACCCCAGCCCCACCTTCTCCCCCAGATGACCCGTCACTCAGCCCGCTTCTCCCGAACTGCTTCACCCTCCACCATGCTTCCCTTCCCGTCTGTCGCCCGTTCCCGCGTGTGCGGCCCGTCCGTGCGTCACCCGCGCATCACCACCGTCGCCGCTGTGCTGCTGCTCGTCGCCTGCATCTACCACACGCGCGGCTTCCGCACCGCCACCCCGCCCGTCGTCGGCAGGGCCTCCGTCCTACCCGATGCCCTCAAACAGGAGGAACTCATCGCCGATGGAGAGGGCGGCCAGAGAATGGATGACACGGAGAGGGAGGGCGCCATCGCTCCGCTCATGCAACCGGACGCCCCCGCATCCGAGCCTGTAGCCGTTGTTCGTGATGTGCCTACCACTGCTGAGGAGGCTTCCGCCGCTTCGGAGAATGACATCGTGCGTGACGTCGAGAGCCACGAAGATGCCTCGCCGCTCATTGCCCCCACGGAGGGAGAGACTGTGGACACCGCCGTAGAGAAGGACGCCGCGCCTGTTACAGCCCCTATTGAGGGAGAGACTGTGGAGACCGCCGTAGAGAAGGACGCCGCGCCTGTCATAGCCCCCGTCGAGGGAGAGACTGTAGACACCGTCGTAGAGAAGGACGCAGTGGATACGTCTGTGTCCACGGGCCCGGACGTTGTACCTACTGATGACAGGATGCATGAGGACACCGTCGTCCCGGCCCCCGCTCTTGATACAAGTGACAAGGTGGAGACTGAGCCTTCGACCGTTCAGCCGGAGGGTATTGAAACGTTTGAGAAGGTTGAGACTGAGGAGACTGTCGGCAATGGGCCGATTGAGACGGGTGCCGAGGGTGGAGCAGGGGGCGAAAGTGAGCATATTTACGCTGCTGAGAAGCTCGAGAATGAACAGTCTGTTGGGGGCGAGCCTCTAGATGCCGTTGAAAAGGTTGAGGAAAATGCTTCTGCTGGGGACCCGGCCATTGACGCCGCTGACAAGCAGGAGCATCTAAACCAGGACGAGGCCCATGGTGACACCATTGAATCTGCTGACAGGCAGCAGGAGGCTGGTGACGAAGATTCCGCTACTGTCGCTGGTACAGACAGTGCTGCAGTCATTCACGAAGAAGAACCGCACGTTGAAAATCAAGTTTTGGCTCAGATTGAGAAGCAAGCTGAAGAGGGCGTTGTTCCTGGAGAGACCGTGCCAGAGACCGAGAAGCAGGTTGAGGAAGGCCCCTCGCTTGATACCGCAGAGCGAGAGCAAAATTCAGCTGAGGGAGAGGGCGATGGATTCACTGAAGACGTGGGTGGAGGAGAAGGCACGCTCGGGGAGGACCACCAAGAATAAGTTGATGCTGTAGAAACAAGTTAGAGCATGAATGCAACCGAAGGGATTAGGAGTTTGTACATCGGCAATCGCTGAGAACTCATGACCGGTGTGTATGCAAAAAAATGTACAGGGTTGCACACTGCCATGGTGCACGGCAGCGGTAACTGTGAAATAGCCAAATAAATGGGAGTGATCCCACGCGCTTGTTGTTCATAAGTCTGCTTCGATACTGGAAATAGATGTAGTACATCAAGTAATGTACAAGCGGATAGAGGAAGACACTCTCCGCACGATTCGAATCGTGTTCACGCGTTTCGCCACTATTAAGAAGAAAGCGTCTCTTTTAGAACTTCAACATAAACCTCCGAGCTTGGCGCTCTTCGTTGCACAGGGTGTAGTCCAGCTGCGTTCTCCTCTCTCCGGTACTGGAGGAGCTGAAGCCGAATTAATTCTTTGAGTGCCCTTCCAACCTTAGGTCCTGGGGGTATGCCAAGTTCCGCTTGCAATCTTTTCCCATCTAGTGCAGGCGACACAGAACAAAGCGACGACGACACCCCGCTCCGGAGCACTTCTTCAAGAAGACGATCTTCCCCAATCTTGGTGCAAGAAGAGATGACGATAGCTAACCAAAGAGAATGACCTGCACTATGCACAATTTCCGCAATTTCAATCCAGAAGTGTTTCTCTGCGATTTCATCGTTATTCATGCGCGCCGTGAACCAGCTGGAAAGGACGTTTTCAAGAGCTGCACTTTCTCGCATGACGTAGCAGACATCCTGTCGCAGGCGCTTTGGCTGTCGGAGAGCACCATGTAGAAGTTTGCGAACTCGAGTTGCCTTCGACACCAGCAGACTATAGATCATAACATGCGCTCCGTAGCGTAGAAATTTCTGCTTTTCGTCATCAAGCAACCACTTCTCGTTGTGCGACAGAAGGCTTAAAGCTTGTTCAACTGTCTTCAGACCATTGCGATAGCGTGATGTGTCTGATTCTGTTGTGGCACGAAAAGCTTCCATGAAGACTGATTCCACCAACTGATATTTGGCGAACATCTTCAAACCACGAAGAACATCCGGAGAATCCAGAATCTGATGAAGTTCGGTACCGATCCTTTCTCGGGAGACTTTTCGCTGCAGATTGTCTCTGACGACTTTTGTGGACAAGGCAGCGGAGAGTGATGGATGTAGTTCAAACTGCAAGCGACAAGCAAAGCGAACAGCCCGCAAGGCGCGCAAAGGGTCTTCTACCAAGGTGGTCTTAGGGTCTAATGGAGTTCTTACAAGGCCGTTTGACAGATCCGTCAGGCCGTTACAGGTGAAATCTTCCACTTGTCGAGTTTGCAGGTTGTAGAAGAGAGCATTGATAGTGAAATCGCGCCGAAAAGAGTCCTGTTCGGGTGTGCCCGCAGAGACTGAGGTTGGAACTCTATGTGCCTCAGCCGTGGCATAATCCTCCGTGCGCAATTGCACAAAATCAAGGTCCTGCCCATCGAGACGAACCGTTGCTGTCTCAAGATGTCGAGACATAGACGGATTTGGTGGGATTAAAGCAACGGTTGAGATATCAGGTACATACTCTTTGCATCCCACTGCTGAAATGCCACCCTCTTCATCGTTTCCTTTTGAGAATTCTGCTTTCTTCGCTCGCGCAAAAGCTTGTACCTGGGAAGCAAACTGATACCCCGTAACATTCCTGACCGCAATGTCAATGTCACCTGTTGCCCGCTGAAGAATTTTGTCTCGAACCCATCCTCCAGCAACACGTACTTCTATTGACTCGGTGGTGCTTGCGACGGACGCAACTCTACCCAGGAATCGAAAGATCTTCGTCTCCCATGCCGACAACTGAATCTTCGGAGCGTTCGTCTTTCCCGAAACTCTGGCCCCGGATGCGAGCGAGAAGGCCCTCCGCATGTCGCGGAAGCACGACCATGAGAATCACGGCCACACGCTAAACGTCTGCACTCTGCTATCTCAGGGCCGTTCCTAACGACGAGCACAGTGTGCTAGCACGCAAGCACCCTGACATTTGGCATGAATGGATTGGTTGAACGGGAGTAAAAGCATTTCCATTTTTTTTTCAACCAATACATTCATGCCAAGTTTCAGGGTGCCTGCGTGCTAGCACACCGTGCTCGTCGTTAGGAACGACCCTCACACTGCGGGAAGACCCTGTCAAACAGATCAACATGTAGGGAACAAACGTAGTACAGTATGGGGCCTCGGTATTCATTTATTTGTATTAAAGTTTATTGGAGAAATTCACGCCCCCAGCGAAGCAGGGCGAAGAATGGCGGTATACTGTAATGAAAACAAGGCAACAGTACTGTATCGTGTCTTACAGTTGAGACATTTTAGAGTGTCCGCACGGGTCGTGACCAAATCAGGGCCGTTCCTAACGACGAGCACAGTGTGCTAGCACGCAAGCACCCTGACATTTGGCATGAATGGATTGGTTGAACGGGAGTAAAAGCATTTCCATTTTTTTTTCAACCAATACATTCATGCCAAGTTTCAGGGTGCCTGCGTGCTAGCACACCGTGCTCGTCGTTAGGAACGACCCTCAGCCTCTCCACCGGCACAGCCCTTTTCGGGTCCAAGTTCCAAATTTTGTGAAACTTGTAAAGCTGTGATACGAGGAAAACGAGATTTAAATTTTGGGATTTTTGGGTTCATCCAAAGATGACACGTTTCCATTGGATTCCTTGCGCTGCTCACTGCGCATATTGTTTTAGTGCGGAGTCCCCATCTGAACTCAACCAGCAGGCAGTCTCATCATGTCCGCTGCTCGTGCTTTCCTTGATGAAGCTGTAGAAAATGATGGAGAGGACTACGTAGCGGCTCTTTGGCTCCATATGGTAATCCTCTGTAGTGATGGGGAGGCGGATCTACTCCTGGGAAGGCGCGGAACATTCAGCGCGACTTCCATGGGGCACACAAGCATTATATGCTCAAATAGTTCTGGCGGATCCACATAATGCGACCAGGGACTACATCCTACGGACTACAGCAACCCGAATCAGCATTTGAAAGGCGATTCCGTATGCCTCGCGACGTCTTCACCCGCGTACTTGAAGTCGGTGTCGCACAGTCCGAATATTTGCGAAAGGGTCTTCGCCCTGATGCCCTTGGCAAGACGGGGATTAGTCCCCTTCTTGAGGTCATCTGTGCAATGTATCAGATTTCATATGGGATACCGGCTGATCTTGCCGATGACCTGTTTGAAGTTCCAGAGACGACTGCTTCTCTCTGCTTGGCAGCTTTCAGTTCGGCGGTGGTTGATGGTTTTGGGTCGGATTATTTGAGACAACCTACTCACGAAGATCTGAAACGAATAGAGCGAATGTTTGCAGCGGTTGGCCTTCCAGATTGTATTGGTTGCCTCGAGTGCGTGGGGGACTGGAAAAATTATCCGAAAGCGTTGCAGGGAGCAATGATATGGAAATATGGAACGCCAACGCTGCGTATGCAGGTAATCTGCGATCTAGGTCTCTGGCTGTGGTCGTTTCAGTTTGGTCTGCCAGGAGTTAAATGATCTCAACATACTTGAGGTGAGCGAACACTTCTCGCAAGTTCTCCATGGTCGCTTTCCACCGGCTGAACCGTCATACAGCATAGACGGTAAGGTGTTCAACTGGTTCTACTATTTGACGGACGGGATCTATCCGTGCTGGAAGATATTTGTCAAGAGTCTGTCAACCCTGTCTTCTAGAAAGGATATATTGTACTGCAAGCTTCAGTAAGGTGTAAGAAAGTGTGTCGAGCGTGTTTTTGATGTGTTGTTCAGACGCTTTAAGATTCTTTATTTTGCTTGCGAGCTGTGGAGTTTGGAGAGAATGATGACTATTGCCGAGGCGGCAGTGATTCTCCATAATCAAATTGTTGAAGCTCTACGGGACTCGTACTATAGCGATGGTGCTGGTGGACTCACCGCAAATTACAAACTGGATGAGTACAAAACAGACATCGTGATAGCAAGCGTTGATGCAATGAGTACCCTAGAAACAATGTCACGTGCTTCAGAAGGTATCAAGGTGAAAGGGTTCGATCGCAAGCTCGTAACAGCACTCATAGAACATGTCTGGAGCTTTCACGGTTCCAGTTAGAAGTTATGTGGATAATGTGCAGCCCGATCCCCCATGCCATGAACCCCGTTGCCTCCTTACGTCTTTCAACTCATGACGAGGCCGTGTCACAAATGGCATCCTCTCTCGTCGCCCTCAACTGGCTCGCCCTGGCCTTCCCCCTTGCTCAGCAACATGCTCGTCTTCCCGAAGTTCCCGCCACCGCCTCCCGCCCCGGTAGCCAAGAAGCAAACCTCCGCCGACCTAGTCAAGCGCGTCTCCCCTTACACTACAGCGCATCTTCCTGATAATTAGAACGAAAATAGTAATTTGGGCGGTTTCATACAGTATTGTGAGGGCATAGTATTAGTGTTCAGATCATCTGTAATAATATGTTCGAATTTCTGCAGTATTTTTTAACGTGTTGGAACAATGCGTGTTATTGGTTTGTTCGCGCTATTTCTTCATCTACATGCACTGAAACTCCTGTAATATGTGATGCTGCTGATTAGCGACCTGGAATGGTAAATATCCATAATCACCTCATGATACTGTAGAGCCACGAAACAGTGCGATTACCACTGTCCCGTTGGCTGCAACAGTGTTTCATGTCGATTGATTTTTATTTTTCTGCACGTTACGCTCAGTGTTGACTTTTACTATGACTCAGAGTAACATCGGCGCATTTGTAATGCCCCATCTCACGATAAGAACGTATACGGTCGATCGCTCTTCGATGACATTTATTGTTTCGCAACAACGCTTCATCAGTTTTTTTCGCGACAAACTGCTTGGTGACGCAGCTACATTGAGCATTTGCCTAATATGGTGAACGTTGTTGTGCCGTACAGCTCCTCATAGGATTGATTTGTCATATGCATAACGCAGAATACTGTTTCGACACTTCTGCAGCTTCTGACAACCACCAAGTGGCTTTCAGAAACATCCCTAGATATTCCAGTACTGAGCAGTCGTCTGCACCATGATATTCGTCTGTCGACATACCCACCACCACTATTGCACATCTCCAAAGGGCACTTTCCTAGGCTCGTGACAGTCCGGCACGACCGCTATCCGTACAGAACGAGCCCCATACTCGGTCGGAAACACGGTATCAACCAAGACATATATGCTCGTGAGCAAACATATGCCGCTGTCCACGTCGACCAGCAACATCGCGACGACATCCAGGACGACGACCGATCCACTATTCAAGCCAACCCAGATGAGAACATGATCCTCTGCTCCATCCATCCAACATTCCCCCCGAAGACGACGACTTTCAGTACCCACACCAACAAACCAAGGAGCAACCTCCTGCCGAAGAAGTCGAATACGTAAAATACGACCAGTACTATGACCACGACCAACTTCACTCCTATTCTGCCCAAGAAGATCCGTACCAATACTGAAGTAGTCCACGTCGAGCCCATGTACGCGAACTCTGATCAAGTGCGGGCCCCAGACACCGACGACGAACCTCACACTCATCTCCCATCACAGCCAGACGATGAGGACCCGTCTCTCTACACTAGCTACCATCCAGCTCCCCAAAAGAAAACCTTTGACAACTCATCATCAGGTATTATGTCTTCTGTGTCGCTGGGATGCTGGTCACAGTGGCTTCAGTCATGGAGGCTTCCTTCTTATCTCCGGGTACACGACGCTTCTCCTTTTTAACAATACGACCGGTATCATCTATGCCGTACCATTTCACGAATGACTCACCCTTGCATGCCCCATCAGCCTCTTCGTCAACACCGTATTTCATCGCTATTAGATTCCCATCAATGCCCTTGTGTAGAATCTCCCAGACGGACCCGTCCACCACAGCTCGGTTCCATGTCCAATCCATGTCTGTTACCTCTTCAATAAGACGCAGTGCCTCCTTTTTCACACGCTTGCAAAGGAACGAGAGTCTTTCGCATACGCCATTACTAACTAATATAAGCCTATAGCGTCGGTGAGGTGGTAGTACCACCTCACCGACCCTATAGGCTTATAACTACTCACAGAAGAAGAAGCCAATGTAAATATCGATTTGCGTCGCGCAGGGTTGCAAAATGACGGCAAAAACACGTTTGAAAACTGCCGGCACTGCCAGTGATCAAGTTGCAAGTGACCTCAGATGCGGTCACTTACAATCTGATTTTTTGTATTTCTTGAAATGAAGGGGAGTGGGGTACCCTTAGCAACTGAACCCCAGAGCTCCGAAGCGGCGTTTCCCATGTCCGAAGAAAACCTCTGTACCTGCGCAACTGTTTTTGGTGCTCGACTGTACGCCAGCCATATCTTCCACGCGAGAGAGAAAATCCCCAAGAAGCACAGGATCATGCCCCCTGGCCAGCACAGACCTGTGTCCTGCTCCTTAGCAGCGAGAACCAGACTTGCGGCCAAAATGAGAGACACATCGTGCCTCACGGTTGTCGGGGCAACTGCCGCAGATCTCAGCAAAAAAATGACAAGCGTGCTTACATATGCTACACACTATCGCAGCACCAGGTCCAAACTCGAGTCCCAGTTGATTGTTCTTGACAAGCCAATCCACGTCATTCAACATGGCGATCCGACAGTTGCTCGACTGACCGTATTCCCTCAGCCTTTGTTCCCCCTCTTCCATCGCTGTGACAAGCTCGCCGGCAAGGATGCGAGCATAGCTCCTTGTGCGTGGCGGTATTCTCTCTATGTTCGTAGTAGCTAGGGGCGCATCTCTCTCTCCCGGTACAGGAATGGAGCTGGCGATGGGAGCGCGGGACTGTAGAGCAACATCTTGGGTGGGGATGTCTTCGCAGAGGTAGCAACAGACTAGCCGAGGGGGGCATCGTCTGAGGGATGGCTGACGAGGTCTAC